CTCAGGAAGGGGTGTGTGTGTGTGTGTGTGTGTGTGTGTGTGTGTATGAGAGAGAGAGAGAGAGAGAGAGAGAGAGAGATATGGGGGAGCTGTATAAACTTGGACATGGAAGTACAGGGAGGATTTTTTAAAATCTTTTTGAAACAGGGTCTCCCTGTAGCCCCAGCTGGTCTGGAACTCACTATGTAGACCTGACTGGCCTTGAACTCGTAGAGATCTGCCTGCCCCTGCCTCCTGAGTGCTGGGATTAAAGGCATGTACCACCATGCCCAGGCTTCAGGGAGGGATTTTAAAAGCTAACCTATCTAATAGAAATAAGATACAAAGCCGGGGTGGTGGCAGGGAGCAGGCGGATCTCTGTGAGTTCAAGGCCAGCTTGGTCTACATTGTGAGTTCCAGGCCAGCTGGGGCTAGCTGGGGCTAGCTGGGGCTACAAGAAATAAGACACAAGTCACAAGTTTTATACATATATATATATATATATATATATATGGTAATAGCTACATTTAAATGGAAAAAGAAACAAAAATAAAAAGAAATAGGAGCCATTAACTATCTTCTATTTGATCCATTATATAGGAAATGCTATCATTTTAACATGTAACCAAGGTAAAAAAATAATACTAACAAGATATCTGACTTTTTGGTTGTTTTCATATAAACCTCTAAAGTCCAGTGTATTCTACTTGAGCAACACGTCTCAATTCAGACCAGCCACATCTCAAGTGTTCAAGAGCCACAAGTGGCTCATGGCCACTGTGGTGTACAGCACAGCTCCAATCTGGGCAAGCTGGGCATCATCAATCTGTGTCAGGCTGACCCTGAGAACATACCCTAGGACTCTCAACATGGCACCTCCTGGTGCCCAGGAAGGCCCAAGTGGTTAGGCCTTACTTAGCAGAGAAGGACCAAGTCTATAAGTACCATGCAAGGAAATCCATGGTGCGCAAACAAACCGCTGCATGTTAAGATCCAGGGAAAGCAGTGGATGGTTTTAATCTGCTGCAAAATCAGCATGTGTTTGTACTTTTCTATTTACAGTAGGCCCTATGAGGAGGAGGCTTGTAAACAGCTCAAGGAGCATGAAGCAGCCCAACACTCCACACAGCTGCTCTGTGTTCCCCAGACCCTTGGGTTACAAGCAAGCCCAGATTAAACCAGAAAGTTTTCATAACCAAGGAGCACAGTCTATGAAATGTGAGGGGGAGGTGGGAATCTGAGCAAAAATTCAAGCCGGGAAATTATTGCCAGCTGTGGTATGTGGGAGCCAGAGAAGATGATGGTCTCCAGGAGGAAGACTTGGGTCTTGCCCCATGTCCTCTAATCTCTGAGTCTAGGTCTGGAGGTATAGACTAGGAGAGTTACTCCACAAACTCACGGTCAGCCAATAGGTTGAGAGGGGTCCATAGGAGCCTGGGCCATCATCCTTAGTATGTGACTTGAACAGACACATAGAGCTACAAGGCTCTGCATTTAACTTTTAAAGCTTTGTAGTGCCATCTTGAAATTCGTCGTTTTTGAACCATGAGCGTTTTCATTCACAATGGGCCTCATAAATTGTAGAGCTAGTTTTAAGGGGAGGCTGAAGCAGGCAACAATAAACCCTTCCAGCCCAGGATCCCCGCTGAGGAGGACCCGAGCATGCTGAGGTTGGCTTCACAGGGACCAACCTTTTGCCCTCATCAGCAGAGTGAGGAGAGACCATCCGGAGGAAAGGCCAGAGCTGCCCTGCAAGCAACTTGGGAGAGGCAGGCCCTGGAAAACGGCACCAGGATGTTGTATATTTTCCAAAGTTCAGATCACAATGGTCTCTTTTCATTTAAAGAAAAATACCACAACCATTTCCTACCAAAGGTTAAGTCTTTACACTTAAAAAAAAAAAAAAAAAAAAAAAACAACGTATTTTTAACCTACCAAAGAATGTGCTTTTTAAAGCTGGCTTCCAGCCCTTCCTGAAGCTGAGATTCTTTCTCTCTGCTCAAAGGGAGAGTTCTAACTCCTAGAGAAGTGTCTGAGTGGCCTCTAAGCCACAGTTCTCAAAGCTGGGCAGGGAGGAGTAGTTAGTGGGAGCTTGTGGCCACCCCTACATTTAGTCAGGACCTACCAATCAGGGTAGAAGCTCCTCTTGGCAGAAATCCACAGAAACACCATGTTTAGCTAAGCCCATTTTAGGCCATACCCTCCACTATCACTCAGACCAAATATTCCTCCAGTCCTGCTGGAAGGCCACTGGCTCTCACCTACCTGACCCTGTCTCCCTTCCAGGAAGTAAACATCTAATTCCTGGCCTAGATGGAGAATGAGAGGTTATGTGTGTGAGTACCCATGTCAGTAGCGGAGGACTCAGTAACAAGACAAGGAGGAGCCTAGATGAGGCCCTCCAGCCCGTCTGTCCTGCTTGCTCTGCCCAGACCCCTGGGGATTGAACCCCCATTCTGGCACGACATCCTGTGTCTTTGCCTGTCTGTCTCTACAGACCATCAGCAGCATACCAACGTGTCCTAACATCTCCTATCCTAAAACAAAGATTGTAAGAAAATGCTCTTGACCACTCCTGTTTATTTCCCATAAGATCAAACTTTCTGGAAAGAGTTGTCCAAACTTGCTGTTTGTAGTTCCTTTTGCCTTGTTCTTTCTCTCTAAGTTTTGAGTGGGGATATGTGTGTGTGTGTGTGTGTGTGTGTGTGTGTGTGTGTGTGTGTAGGTCAGAAGTATTGTTTGTCAGGACCCAAACATCTTGTTTTTGAGACTGAGTTTCTCAGTGGGACATCTGGGAGTGTCTGTGTATGGATGTTTCCAGAGAGGTTTAACTGAAGGAGAAGATCCACACTGTGGGCAGTATCATTCCATGGGCTAGGATCCTCGACAGAATAAAAAGGGAAGAAGAAAGTAAGCTAAGCATCAACATTCAGGATGCTCTGGGACCAAATGCCTACACTGCTGCATCTGTGCCTCCCCCACCATGGATGGGGTATACCTCAAACTGTGAACTAAACCCTTAATTTGCTCTTGTGACAGTAATGAGAAGGGTAACTAGTATAACATCTACCATTCCTGGAAAACACAAGGACTGTAGAAATTTTAACTCTATGTAACATCATCTTCCAGCATAAGTCATGATTTTCAGATACATTAAACAGCTAAAAGTTTTAAACCCCACAAGGAGTCATGTTTGTTGTATATGCAATCATATTCTTTGGACTTACAATAATTACCTTGCCTTTTTACTTTCTTTCTTTGTGTGTGTGTGTATGTGTGTGTGTGTGTGTGTGTGTGTGTGTGTGTGTGTGTGTGTGCTTTCTTTGTGCATGGGGGCAGGGATTGAACTCAGGGCTTCACACATGCTAGGTTAGCACTCTACCTCTGAGCCACATCCTCAGTCCTTTAAAAAAATATATTTGGGGGCTGGGGAGATGGCTCAGTGGTTAAGAGCACTGGCTACTCTTGCAGATGACTTGGGTTCGATTTTCAGCACCCACATGGTGGCTAACAACCATCTGTAACTCCAGTTCCAGGGGAATCCAACACCGTCTTCTGGTCTCTACTGGCATTGGATGTATGGGTGCAGTTACAAACGTGCAGGCAAAACACTCATACAAATAAATAAATAAATAAATAAATAAATAAATAAATGGACAGATAGATAAAATTTTATTTTATTTTGAGACAGTGTCTTGCTAAGTTGCCAAGCTAGCATTGAACACAAAATCCTCTCACCTCAGCATCCCAAGCTCTGGGATTGCAGGTGTCTGCCACCACGCCCACCTGGAAGCTACCTCTTCTATTACTCTTCCATCCTGTACTTCCAAGATTACATTTAAGTTTATGTTCCTTTGGCCTGAAGAACATTGTTTGCTGATGACTAGATTTATCAAGTACTGTTTTTCTCAAAGTGCCTCTATTTCGTCTCCTTTATCTTTGCCTCCGCATGGTTGTAGTTGATTACTCTTGAGACTGTGGAGATGTCCTTCATTATCCTCTGGCTTCCATTGTTTCACTGGAGGAGGCGGTCAACTATCTGTTGAGTCTTTCTGCTTGCTTTGACTATTTTACCCCTGTGTTTGCTCTTCACACAGGGGTGCTGTGTTCAGTCTCTCCACAGGGATAAGAACTCTGAGAGGAGAGCAGGCAGACATGCTTCTGTGACTCCAGACCAGACCAAGGTCTCTTCATGAAGCTCAGAGGAACCCCTGAAGATGACCACCACATACTGGCAGTCATAGCCAGGTATATTTCCCAAGGAGGGCCTTAGGTCTAGTGACTAAAAAGCAGCCAATAGCCCAGGGGAGGAGAGATGAAGATAGAAAGAAGGGGTAGAGGGAATCCCACCTGGAACATTTGCATCCAAGCTCATAGCCAGAAACATGGGCTACAACATAGACCAGAACTTTTCCAATCCCCTGATAAAAGGGGTGTAAATTAGCATCAGACATGTATTTTATATTGTGTGAGATTGCTGTGAATACGTCTGTCCTATCTGACTAGAGACTTTGTAATATTGGTTGTATTCTAGCCAATGAATGCCTTTTGTTATCATTACTGAGGTCTAAATATAAGCACATACCTAAGACATGGATGAGGAGATGCAGTTAAACCTGTGGGCTGGCCTATCTCAAGTGAAGACCCCAGGTCCACAGGTATCACCATGATGGGACAGAACCAGGCCTGTGCCCATCTGGAGTAGCTTGAGAGTGTCACAGGGTACACATACAATGGGTTGTTTCCCCTCCCAGTTTGCTCTCTCCCTATTTCTAGACAAAGATGAACAATGTTTCTAGACAAAGATAAGCAACATTTATTTCCACAGTTCTGGAGCTGGGATCAGAGATCAGGGTGGCCGCATGGCTGGGTTCTGATGAGGCCAAAACTCATCTGCTGATCATTAGAGCAAAGACACTAGATTCTGACTTCTGCTTTTCAAAGGTGTTGGTTAGAATGGATAACTATTTCCAGGGAAGACTAGGATGCCTCTTTTTGGGCATGTCCAGGGTGAACACTGACCATGATGCCCCAGCCTGATGGAGCTGGACTTGCCTTCTGTTTACCTTCTTTCCAGGGAAAATCAGCGTTCACCCCTCAGGACCACCTGCCACAGTCATGCTCTTTGTAGCCAACTGAATAGATGACACACAGCATCCAAACCTCTCTTCATGGCCCTTGCAAGGCATCAGGATCCTGGTCAGCCCCAGCTGACCCGGTCTCCAGCCACATTGGTTCCCTGGGCCCCATGGAGTAGAAAGATGGGAAAAGAAAAGCAGAAACAGGTTTTAGGATTTTTCACAGTTGCTTTGGTTTGTTTGTTTGTTTGTTTGTTTATACAGAAGAAACTACTCAGCCAAGATCCCAGGGGTAACAGGCTATTTCTGAGGCGGCTGTCTCCCTCCCCACCGCCCAGAGGAAGGGCGGACACAGAGTGAAGAGTCCAGCTCTCGCTTCCTGGAACGGAGCCGACAGAGCTAGTGGGATCCTTTTTGCAGACTGTAACTATTTTTCGATGACATTATTTCATCTGGTATCCTCATGATAACCCTGTTAGTCGATGTGGAAAGAGAATTGTCTTAGTTTAGGCTGCTATAACAAAAATATCATACTTGCTTGGGTCAGCTAGATGACTCAGCCAGTAAAGGCATTTGCTACCTGTTCTAGTTTGCTTCCAATTGTTGTGACAAAACGCTCTGACCAATACCAACTTGGGGAGGAAAGGGTTTATTTGGCTTGTAATACATCTCCCAGGTCACAGTTCATCAAGGAGCCCAAGGTAGGAACTCAGGGCAGGAACCTGGAGGCAGGAGCTGAAGCACAGGCCATGGAGGAATGCTGCTTACTGACTTGCTCCCCTGGCCCATGCTTAGCCTACATTCTTATACAGTACAGAGCAACCTGTCCAGGGATGGCACCATCCTCAGCGGGCTGGGCCCTCCCACATCACTCAAAAATCAAGAAAATACCCCACAGGCATGGCCACAGGCCACTCCAATGGAAGCAATCCCCTAAATGAGGCTCCCTCTACCCAGGTGTGTCAAGTTGACAACTAAAGCTCTCCAGCACAATTGACCCCTTGTCAACCTGACACACAAACACATCACTCTTAAATCATAACCTTTCCACTTCTTGTCCCCAAGATATGATGTTAATAATATCACAGCATAAGACAGTACAACCTTAAAAGTCTCACAGTCCTTAAAAATTCAAACACCTCAAAAAGACCAAAAAAAAAAAAAAAAAAATCAAACACCTAAAATTCTACTCTTTTTTAAAAGTCTCTTTACTATGGGCTCCTGTAAAATCCAAAACAAGTACTGTCTTATTTCAAAAGGGAAGAATAGGGCACACCTAAGCAAAACCTAACTCCAGCAAAGTAGTTCAAGGCTGGACATCTGGGATTCACTCATGATCTTCTGGGCTCCAAAGGGTTTCAGCAGCTCTTCTTCTCTGACTCTGCCATCCACAGCACACACAGCTCATTTTGCAGACCCAGGCTGGCTCCATTCCACACCTGCTGCTGCCGTTGGTGGTCGTCCCACGGTCCTGGTATCTCCAAAAAGCTGGGGTCTCCACTGAAACTAAGGCTGCTCCTTCACCAATGGCCTCTTCTGGTCTCTAAGGGTGCAAAGCCTCAGATTCTCTCCATGACCCCTTTAATCCTGGGGTCTTCACTGCAACTGAGGCTGCACTTTCACCAATGGCCTTTCCTGGCCTCTCAGGATGCCAAGCCTCAGCTGCTCTTTGTGACCCCTTCACACTTTCAGCACCAGAACCATGCAGGAGACTTTTATATATTACTAAGTCCTGCTTCCAATTTGAGATGGAGGCTCAAGCCCCCCTCTGGACCATGGCTTCGTGTGCTGTCCCTGAGGGAATACTTCCCAGAAGATTTTGCCACAGTGATGCTGGTCTCTTGTTACTTAGAGCTGATTTTTTGGCCCCAGCTGGTCTCTTCTTAATCACAGCTGATTTTTCAGCCCCAGCTGACCAGAACCCACAGATTCTCAATTCAAGAGATCACACAAACAGCGCTGATAGTCTCTGCTTTCCTTTGAAGCTTCACAAGGTAGGCCTCCATCATCCACAACTCTTTCAGTGTAACTGTTCCAAGCTCCACAGCAACAAACTTTAAGCACTCAATCGCTTTTCCAGCCCAAAGTTCCAAACACTTCCACAATCCTCCCCAAAACACCAAGGTCAGGTCTGTTACAATAATACCCCACTCTCTGGTACCAATTTCTGTTCTAGTTTGCTTTCAATTGCTGTGACAAAACACTCTGACCAATACCAGCTTGGGGAGGAAAGGGTTTATTTGGCTTACATCTCCCAGGTCACAGTTTATCAGGGAGCCCAAGGTAGGAACTCAGGGCAGGAGCCTGGAGGCAGGAGCTGGAGCACAGGCCATGGAGGAATGCTGCTTATTGGCTTGCTCCCCTGGCCCATGCTCAGCCTATTTTCTTATACAATACAGAACAACCTGCCCATGGCTGGCACCTTGGTATGTTAAGATGACAACTAAAGCTATTCAGCACACGGCCCAAGCCTGACAACCTGAGTTTGATCCCTGGTATCCATGTCAAAGTAGGAGAGCACTGACTCCACAAAGTTGTCCTCTGATCTCCACACATGCACTGTGGCCTATTGTGTGCACCTGTACTCTCAGGCACACAAACAAACTCACACAATAAAAATAAAGTTAAGAAAAAAAAATGTCTTCTTAGGGAGCAACATTTACTTCCACGGTCTGGAGCTGGGAGCAGAGATCAGTGTGACAGCATGGCCAGGTTCTGGTGAGGCCCTCTTTAGGGGTTTCATGCTATTAACTTCCTGTCACACACATACATGCTTATGTGGTGGACACTCTTGTGTCTTTTTACAAGGGCACTAAACCTATTGAGGACCACAATTTATAACCTAATCATCCCCCAAAGGGGCCTTAGAACCATCCCATTGGGGGTTAGCATCTTAACATATGAATTTTTTGTGGACCCAAACTTTCATCCTACATTAAGGTCCCGGTTTTATAAGGGAGGAAACTGAAACTCAGTTGTGTTAATTAACATATAATAGAATGATAAAGAGAGGCTCCTAAGGCAAGCTTTCTGACTCCAAATCTCCATCCCCACCCACCACTTCTATGTACTTCTCTGGGTTCTACCCTTCCTATACCCCAATACTAGGCTAAGTCTCTGCAGTCCACATCACAGAAAGATCTAGCCTAGGAAACAGAACCTAGTCCCTGCTCTTCTCTGCTGATAGCTGGCTGTGTGGCCTCTGATTTATCTCTCGTTTGCTCTGAGCCTCAGTTTCTTCATTTGCTAGTGATGATAACAGTCCTTATCTTCCTACCCCTATCAATGGACAGAAGGACCTGATAAGGTGTCACATAAAATGGCTTCGACTTAGGAGACAGAAGCATAAGGACCACCAAGAGTTCAAAGCCAGCCTGGTCTACATAGCAAGTATCCGCCAAGGCTACCTAGTGAGATCCTATCTCAATATCTCTGAGAAACAGTCAAGGTATTTGAATATAGCTACGATGTAAGAACAGGCTGACTTCTTGGAGTAAGCTCCTTCCTCCTGCAGCCTAGGAAGTCAGGGAAGGAAATGGCAGCCAGCCTCTCAGATCTTGGTCCTACAACTTCCAGTGGAGTTGCCCAAGCCCCTCCGCTGTGACAAGAGACACAGCTAGTCTAAGCTAGGACCAACCCTACAGCCAGCCAGCCCACAGGGGTCTCATCTCTCTTTCTCCAAGAGTGGGAAAGTCAAAGAAGAGGAGGAGATGCTCTGAAGTCCCACTGGAACAGAGACAGCACTGCCCTGCAGAAGCTACTGTGTTTGCGGCTCACTCTCTGCTTCCTGCAAGAGGATTATCTATCTCTGCTCCAAAACCTGGGGACATGTGCCTCCTTTCCCCACACCACTGGGCAGTACTGTGTAACTGGCCTCAGTCAATGCTATGTGAGAACACATGATATATGTCATGTCCTGCTACATACAGAAAGAACCAACACTATTCTGGTCTCCACCAGTCTTCTTTTCTTCCCCTCCCTGAAGGATCCAGATGAGGGCTCTCCTTTTGCCTGGCTCCCAGACTAAAAAGATAGGAACAGGGTTGAGGAGGTGATTCCAATGTGTACTATGAATGTAAACTAAAATTCTGTGTGTCAGACTCAGGCACATTTGTTACTGTAGCCTTACCTAGCATAGGCTGACTGATGCATTGTCCCATCTTCTTCCAGTTCCTCCAATCTCAGAGCTAAGTCTCATCCACTAGCTTGTAGTCCATGGTCAGAGATCCCTGTTCTGCTTCTGTGTCTTGTGTCCCTATGGTCCCCTCAGGACATCGATGTCCAATACAAGAACCCTGCCCTGGAATCCTCAGCCCTTGGGCTGTCCTCCTCCACTGCTGCCTCTGGTAAACTTCCCAGTCACATTCTCAGTGAGTTCTAGCCTTCCTTCACTCATGTGGATGATCTGGATGCCACCCACTTGCATAGAGAGCCCAGGGTAGCTGGAAGAAGCTGAATTCAGGCACTCCATCTGCCCTCCCCACAACCAGCTTTACTCCAATGGAGACCATGGGTAGACACAGGGGTGACCTCAAGAGGACTTCCTTTTTCCAACCCCCACAAGATGAAGCAAGTCCCCTCAACCAGACTAGTGCCTCTCCCTCCAACAGGGCATGGGGCTATAGAGAAGAAACCACCCCTCCTTCTGACCAGGGTCCCCCACAGCCCCAGTCTTAGGAGCCTTGCCTGGGTCCTCCCTACCTGAGGCATAGTAAGTTCTACTCTCTCCTTCGCTAAGCCTGACCCCATCCCTCTGACCACAAAGTATAGATTTCCACACCATGATCTCAAAAATGAATTGAGAGCATATCTTGGAGCCCAAGGCACTGACTTTTCTTCTCTTTCCCATGGTAGGAAATACAAAGGCTCATTCTCTGGGCTGCAAGAAAGCTTCGTTTAAGAGATGGTATAAAAAGAAATCTGTTCAAAGGGGTCAGATGATAAATTCTATGTGCTTTCAATCACAAGTCTTTAACTTTTGAATTTTTTAGTGAAAAATAATTTTCTAAAGAAATTAGTTCAGGGGTTGGAGAGATGGCTGGCTGCTCTTGCAAAGAACCCAGATTTGGTTCCCAGCACCCATATGGTCGCTAACAACCATCCGTAACTCCAGATCCAGGGGCTCCAGTGCCCTCTTCTGTCCTCCATGGGCATTGCATGACATGGGTGCACATACATACATGCAGGCAATACACTCATATGCACAAAATAAAAATAATAGAGAAAATTTTTTATTTAAAATATTTTATATATTATTTTTATGTGTATGAGTATATTGCCTGGATGTATGTGAGTGCACCTGTGTCATGCAATGCCGCAAAGATCAGAAGAGGCCTTTGGATTACCCTGGAACTGGAGTTAAAGATGGTTCATAGCTGCCATGTGGGTGCTGGGAATCGAACCCGGGTCCTCTGCAAAAGCAGTCAGTGCTCTTAACCACTGAGCCATCTCTCCAGCCCCAATAAAATGCTGTTGTTTTTTTTAAAAGAAATTAGTTCAAAGCCAAGCAGGGTGGCACTCACCTGTAGCCCTAGCACTTGGGAAGCAGAGACAGGAGGGTTGCAA